ATTATTTTTAATAATAATGATATTATTATTTTTTTATTAATATTATTATTTTTTTATTAATATTATTATTATGGATATTCTTCCATGCGAACAACCAAACACAGTAATGTAATATTCTTGAGAATTTGAAAAAGATTCATGTATGGAACCAAACATAGTAATGTATTATTCCTAAGAATCATATTACTCTCCATCACTTTCCTGAGAATATGATTCCTACTGATTCTCGCATACCAAACGCCCCCTTTGAATGATGAGTTAAATTTATTACAATTAATGAAATTAAATTCTTATCACGTCACTTCATTAAATTGCTATATTTAATAGGTGACTATCGATGGAGACCTAACTATTGAAAACTCACATATATATATATTTATATGTATATATATATATGTATATATGTATATAAGCACATGTTATAGCATGTGTCAGCCTGTAAATAAAAAAATTAAAATAACAAGTGGGATCGGACCTACAACCGCCCATCTAACATTATCTTTTGACCTAAAAAAAAAAATCTAAGCTTGAGCTACAAATTTTAGTGCGGGAAGCAATAAATCATTCTTCTTCCTTCTTGTGATCTTATGCTTTCTTATCATGATGTTTGTGATTGTTAACATGATTAAAAATCCAAAATTATGAACTTTTTTATTTAATTATTCTATTCAAGAGAATGAGGATGTGGAATTTGTTGACTGTCAAGGTGACATATTTTGTTATTATTATTGTTATTATTGTAATTATTATAATTTTATTATTATTATTATTATTATTATTATTATTATTTGAAATGCAGTGTGACTGTGTTCATTAAGACTTTTGGTAGAAGTTATAATGAGAATAAGGACATGTTTAGCAAATGGTAAAGAAATATATTGGGAAAAGTTAAGGCGGCAGCATCGCTATTTCGAGAGAAGAAGAAGAAGAAAAAAAGAGGCATAGAGGTGAAAGAGGCACAGAGTAAAACTAGGGCAGTGATGAAAAGAAAAAGGCGTGTTAATTGTTTAGTATGTAATATATATAT